TTTCGAGTGGGTTTGTGTTCAGGATGAGTGTGTATTCAAGGTGCATATACAGTATGCACACATAAAAAAATATTTGTGCGTATGTATGTACATGTGCATAATATACGTATCTTTATATAAGTAACACAATATCCTTATAAATATTGTAAAACATTTTAAATAAAAGATAATAATACTGCATATATGTAGTCTTAAGTTCTTAATGTTACGATTGTAGTGACCGGGTAAGTCCCTAGGATATGGGGGTTAATCGGAAGCATTTTAAATTATTTATATCTTAATATTTAATCAATGCTTGTGTTTCTGAAAGGGATCCATGAAAAATGCGATTTTTTTTTACAATGATGTTCACTCTGTATACATGTTAAGAGGCACTCAAGGCATAGGATTACAGAGTTTATGCAGATAAGTGAGAAGATAACGGTTAACCCTATAGCTGAACAGGTTAAGGTTAGTGACCGGGGAAATATCCTCCTGGGAGTCGGTTCTACAAAGCAGCGGTCTGTGTGAAGAAGCCCGAGTGGATCTTACATCTCACCATGGATTACGAAGTAAATGAAAATGATTCGCTACAATGTAGTAAGAATGGTGGGTCTTAGCCGTGAAGATTAGAATTGGTTGGACTATGGAATGTAGTTCGTCTGACTACTTTCCGTTGAAATAGCGAAATGGCAGCGAGAATTTTACGATATTTCGTCATGAATAAATAAGTATTTATTTTATATAAAATGTGTTTTGAGCTGAATATTACTGCCTGCTGTTATAAACAGTTGTCCTCAAAAAGAAATTACAAATAAGAAACAAAATCATCAGAATCGACATTGCTTTGATGGGAAATTTTTTTAAAGAAATACTGGTTTATAATTTGTCTGCATCAGGAATGAAACGTGTAAATCCTTAAGAATTTTGTCATGCTGAATTCGAAAATAACATAAGAGGATTAACTCTAGATCAGCGGTTTCCAAAATGGGGAGCGTGCCCACAGGGCGGTAATTTGATATTTATGGGGGCCAGTACAACCATGAATTATTAAGAGTGATTTTTCTAGTGATTCTGTGTGTATATGAGTGTGTATTCGAGTTAATACACAAGTTGCATATACAGTATGCATGCATAAAAAAATATTTGTGTCTATGTATGTACACGTGTAATTACGTATGTACATGTGTATAATATACGTATATTTATATAAATAACGCACTATTTTTATTTTTATAAATATTGTAAAACATTTTAAAATAAATGATAATACCATTGCATATATGCAGCTTCAAGTTATCAAGGAAAGTTAAGTTAATGACCTTTTAACGCTTCCTCTACGTGAATAGGGGTTCACTTTTTTAAAAAAACAAATAAGAATTATATGTTACATTGTTGGGGATCATTATTTTAAAATTCTTAGTTGAGGTCTCCCCTCACCAAATAGATTGTTTTAAACTAAATTCGTTTATATAAATACACACAAACGGTCATACATGATTGCTATCAACTGTATGGTTTTCGAGATTCAGAGTATTCCTTCTCCTAGATCAAAAAGGGTGAAAAATCCAGCCTACACCGCTAGTTATCCTATAGCTTGGGGGCTGGAGAAGTTAGGGATACACATTTTTCCCCAATGTATTTACATGAAAGTGAATGTAGTGAACAAGTGGCATTCGAACTCGGCTTGCTGACTTTACGTCCCGGGCTCCCAAACAGCACAGTAATCGCGTATATACACATCCATCCAGCCAGCCGTATATAAAATTAAAAGAGTGGACGTATATGCCGTGAAAATCTGTGAAGAGACTATCACAAGTTTTGTTATCCTTATGGACGTAGGTGATAATGTCTCTCCATAACTTCCTGTTTCTTGTAGCTCTTAGTAAATTTTGTTTTATTGTTATTTCTCCTAAACCTTGTTCCGCCATCCGTTTACTCAAATTCTCTAAGTACATTATGCATTGTTTTCCTTTTTCCATCTTGGCTTCAATCTGTTTTTTTTAAGCGTTTCACCCCAAGCAAGGCGGGAAGCCACTAGGACGCAAGGGGTTACAGAAAAATTTGGAGCAAGATCAGATAGGAGTGATAGAAGAAAGAATGAGGAGAAGGGTAGTGGATAGATCAAGGCAACTGGAGATATCGATTGACATTACATTTGAATAGTTGGAGATTATAGCTCTCAGGGAGAAGGAATAAGGAAGGGAGTTCCACAGGCGAGAGGTGCGGGACATGAAGCTATTGAAGTAGAAGTGACCGCTACATTTAGGAGTTTCGACAGTGAAGGGGTGAGAGCGGGATGCCAGCCTCGTAGGGCGCTTGAACTCATGAAGTCTGGGAACCAGCGAATGCAGCTCCTCGGAGCAATTGCCATGAAAGTATTTGTAAAACAGACAGAGAGAGGCGCATTCTCCAATCCCTCTTTCCTCATTATGCGCCTTAGAATCCTGAACTGTCTCTTCCTGATGTTAAGTTTCCTTTTTGTTTCAGTTTTCTCTAAAACTTCCTCATTGCTCTCCTGTTCCACGTGACATGTTTTAATGGATGTCAGTTATTATCGATGATTTTTCTCGATCGATCATATCCGCTCACGAAATGTATCTTAACGTAAATATAAACAGCATATAATGAAATGGATTATATCCAACAATGATTTAATATATTTCCTGTTTATACGTTACGTTTTTTTGTTTTTTTTTGCGTGTAAAAGAACGCTAAATTCCTGAATACGGACGTTTGCAAAATGGAGTAAAAACGGATGAAAAAGACGCGGAACAAATTAAAAAAAATGGAAATATCAATTAAAACCAGAAACCCTGACCATCCGAAATTTACCAAGAAAGACAACTGATATTTAAAAACCGATATTTAAATGTTAAGTAAAATTTTTATAATATTATATATATATATATATATATATATATATATATATATATATATATATATATATATAGACATTTTATGTTTATACATTCTTTTTATAGATACAAATATTTAAGTAAATGTTCTGTTTTATAATAAACAGTATTAAACAACATTTACCGGCCTGAATGCCCGAAAGTTTTCACAGAAAATATTCGTCCTATAAAAAGAATGTATAAGCATAAAATGTCTTAGAATAATTGTCGGACTTTGTCCATTTCATAATATATATATATATATATATATATATATATATATATATATATATGCACAAATGGGCACGTGGCCGAGTGGTTAAAATGTGCCCATTTGCATATATATATATATATATATATATATATATATATATATATATATATATATAATTATCGCTCTAATATTGGTATCGAGCCCTCTTTTGGATTAATGCTGTGAACGTTGGAATATATATATATATATATATATATATATATATATATCGCTCTAATATTGGTATCGATTATCTTTTTGGATTAATGCTGTGAACGTTGGAATATATAATATATATATATATATATATATATATATATATATATATATATATATCCGATGCGATGAGAACGAAAGTAATATATAAATTCCAACGTTTACAGCATTAATCCAAAAGAAAAGCTCGATACCAATATTAAACGATAATTATTTATTTATTATAATTTTATCACATAGACAAAACCATTTTACTCACTACAAAGATGCAACTTCGTTTCAGTGCATTTCAATATATATATATATATAGATAGATAGATAGATAGAGAGAGAGAGAGAGAGAGAGAGAGAGAGAGAGAGAGATTTAATCCTGTTCAGGTCTAGCTACATAGCTAGCTATCGCTGTCTACCTGTCTGTTCTGGCCTGTTCATAACTCTCTAGCCAACGAGAATTTAAGTTTGGCACCTTGTGCGAAAATATTTCCGAATTAATGCGCAGAAAAATGATATAATTGTTTTCAACTTTGTGTTATGCAATCTTCATACAGCATAACAAATAAACTCAGCAAAATGGCCACCATTCACGTCAGGTGAGTTCTTTATGGAAAATGTCTTCTAATATAATATACTGCCGTGGAAAGCTGAAGAGAAAAACGATGGTCGATTTATCCTGGCCAAGTTATTCTTACGTTGGGCCTGATTGATTGAAACACTTTGTCATGGACGCTAACTTGTCATAAAATAGAATAGAAAAACAGCTTTCATTTCTTTTTAATAATATATCCATTTCCATCAATGAGTCATTTCATTATCTCGCTGCCTACCTATCTATCTTTTTGCTCATTTGATTATCTATCTATCTATCTATCTATCTATCTATCTATCTATCTATCTATCTATCTATCATTTCACTATCTCACTGTCTGTCTTTCTATCATTCTATTTTTGGTCATTTCATTATCGCACTGTCCGTCTTTCTATCTTGGTAATCTATCTATCTATCTATCTATCTATCTATCTATCTATCTATCTATCATTTCATTATCTATCCATCTCTCAATCATTTCATCCTCTCACTGATTGTCTGTCTATCTTTCCCTGTTGGCCATCTCATTATCTATCTATCTATCTATCTAGCAACCAGTTTTTACTTCTTAGTTGTTCTATTAAACCTAGCCAGCCCATTCTGCTCTGCTATTAATCCCCTGGCTTTTGGTGGATTCATACCTTTCTCAAGGTATTTGTGCGAAACCAAACGTAACCGCCTCAGCTGGATATTGACCTCGACATGCCACTCTCACGTTCCGCATTGATAACCGCTATGCTACACGCATACTCAGTAGACCATTGCCTAGGTATAAAGGTACAGTTTCACAGATGATATTGGCAACTGGCAATACAAAGTCATTTGCGCCACTCGTCGAACAGGAGCCTTAAAATGTATTTTTGAAACGTTATCTCGTCTATCTGGAAATACTGTGGCATCAGTTGGCCCTGTTTGCGAATATAATTCTTGTCAAGATGGGTCTTAGCATTTGGCCTTATTCGCCCCAGCTTAAGGCACCTCGAGGCGGTGTAAGTGTCAGCAAGCTTTTCTCTCTAGAACAGTTACGACTGAATAGTGAGTTCGATCTTCACTGTGTGTCCTATATTTTCGGCCTTGTGCCATACATGAGCTACTCTTGGAAAATCACTATTCACCCCAGCTTAATCTTGCCGAAATACAGTGGTAAAAAATGGAAACCATTATGGAGCGAAATATGCAAGTATCAGGTCATCCCATAAGTTCTGTCCGATTTTTGAATAAAGAAAACAAGTGACCAAATGTTACATTTAATTACAGATTCAATCAACAATGTATTTTTCCTGATTATCTATGACTTCCTTCCATCTATTAACAAGCGTACTAATTCCATTACTGTAAAATTCTTTTGGCTTTGATTCGAAGAACTCACAAATGTCAGTTTTAACCTCTTCCTGTGTTACAAAAGCTGTTTCTTCCAAATGATTCTGTAAGCTACGAAGCAAATGGTAGTCTGAAGGAGCAAGATCGGGAGAATAAGGTGAATGAGGAATTTTCTACCAACCAAGTTCTTCGACCTTTTGTGACGTGATTCTTGTTGTGTGGGGTCGCGCATTGTCCTGATGAAACATCACCTCGTTTCGATTCACTAGAGCAGGTTTTTTTTTCCTCAAAGGTTGGTTCAAACGCTCTAATTGCTGACAGTATATTTGAGCATTAATTATTGCATTAGGTGGTAAGAATTCAAAGTGGATTATTCATTGGCGATCCCACCAGATTGAAAGAAGAACATTTGCCAATGAAGTTCCCTTCTCGGCTGTGGCTGGGGTCCTTCCCCTTTACCAAGCCACTGTCTATGACGCTTAACATTTCGATAAAAGATCCATTTTTCGTCGCCAGTCACAAGTCTATCCAAAAAAGGTGAAACATGTTGGTGAGAATGGAGAGAAGAGCAGATGTCAACTCGAAATTCGAGGTTGTTTTCAGACAATTCATGAGGCACCGATTTTCCAAGTTTAGGAACTTTTCCAAGTTGTTGAAGATGACGATGAACAGTTGTATGGTTTGAACTGAGAACCACTGCCAATTACTCAACTGATAAAGCAGGATTTTCTTCAAGGGCTGCTTCAAGAAGTTTTTCATCAAACTCAACTGGACGTCCGGTTCGATCTTCATCTTCAAGGGTGAAATCTCCACCTCTGAATTTTGCAAACCATCTTCTGCAAGTTCTTTCATTCACACATTCCTCTCCATAAACTGAGTGAATGTTTCTAGCCGCTTCAGCTTCTGAGTTTCCTTTCTTGAACTCATAAAGCATTATGTGCCTCAAATGATTCTTGGGTACTTCCATGTTAGCAGGGTTTTAATCAAACAAATTTTAATTTTATTGTTCTCTGAAATAAAATTGAATCAGTTTAAATGCATCTAAACATAAAAATAATGTTTTTTTATAAAATACTCTTTAAATTTCGTTCATTTTAAGAAAAACTTAAAATTCGGACAGAACTTATTGGATGACCTGATATATATATATATATATATATATATATATATATATATATATATATATATATATATATATATGTATGTATGTATGTATGTGTCCATAAAGTTCGTGTGCACTTTAAAAATTATAACTTTATTTGTATTTGCGATAGAAATAATCTGTAAAAATGTGTATTGTACCTAGTTTTAAATATAGTTAAAATAACTAATGTGATTTCAGGCATTACTGTAAATCAGTTGGCAAATGTTTTCCGTGAAATGAAAAATCGTATTACCCTTGGTATTGCTAACGATAGAGGACATGTGGAAACTTAAATAAAATTTCAATAAAACCTTAAAAAATATAAATGTACGTCTTTCTAATCCTTTTTACAAATTATTTCTATCGCAAATAAAAATAAAGTTATAACTTTTTTAAAGTGCACACGAACTTTATGGACACCCTATATATATATATATATATATATATATATATATATATGTGTGTGTGTGTGTGTGTGTGTGTGTGTGTGTGTGGTTCATCCCCTTTACAAACTGTCAAATATAAATATCGAAAGACAGCATTTTAATAAATAAAAACTTTCATAAAAAACAACTCTCTAAGTAAGATCTTCAATGAGAAAACATTTAAAATTAGATACCCCTGTACCAATAATATGTATAAAATTATCAACTAACATAATAACTATATTTTAAGAGATTCCTATGGATAAACGACAAACCTTGTATTGAACCCTCCTGTAATTGTCCAGTAGAGGGAAAATGCAGATCTAAAAATTCGCCTGAGCAAGCATGTGCAATAGGGATTAGCTAGCCGCCCCAGTAAACGGGTATCCTCGAATACGAATGGCCAGTCATTAACCTGACGATTAACATTTTGTGGACAGACTGCACCAATGTATGAGAAATTAATTTTTATATTTAATACATTTGTGATGATTAAAATTTGTATAGCTAAGAAAACTTTGTTATTGCACTTAGAAATTCTCGACAAATTGAGAAACGGCGAAACGCAGAAATGACGTCAGTTGGAGTACACATAGGAGCCGAGATCTCTACGTCCTTTTAATCTAGTTATATATATATAATAATCTCATTCTGTTCCCAATTTCTCTTTCGCCCTCTATATCAACTTGTTCCTATCTATCTATCTATCTATCTATCTATCTATCTATCTATCTATCTATCTATCTATCTATCTTTCAGTCTTTTCAATTCTATCTTGTTAAATAATATTTATGTTCACATATCTCTCATCCTATCGAATTAAATTAGAATCTATCTATCTATCTATCTATCTATCTATCTATCTATCTATCTATCTATCTATCTGATCAATATTGTTGAATGTGTGTGTGCATATATATATATATATATAACATTTGTTATTTACTCAAAAATAACGTATAAAGAGAATATATATATATATATATATATATATATATATATATATATATATATATAACGTGTGTATATGTATATATGTATATACACATAGGGTTAATACAAATATAAAATTTCTGGCTTAACTAATATTCTGCACCTGAACTGGCGTTTCGTAGACGAACTCTTTATAATTGTTCAGTGCCCTTATATTACGTTTCAGAAAGGGTTTATATATATATATAAATATATATATATATATATATATATAATGGAGATATATTGTGTATATCTATCTATCTATCTATCTATCTATCTATCTATCTATCTATCTATCTATCTATCTATTTGCTTTGGACCTGTCCGGTGGTTCGGATACTTATTCTTTGCCTCCAGGGTTTGTAATTGTTCAAGGAGTATTGGAACCTCCCCCTTTTGAAAAATCGTCGCAAAACGATCTTTGTACTATAATAATTACATGCATTCATGCAATTCGGATTTAAACCTGAATACCATAAATATATCCACATATCTGTAACGATATTCCATTCATCCGTAAATGACTCTATGAATAAAGACAATCATATCAAACAATAACACACACGCAGTTGATTTGAGCGTTGGCATTGGCAGTCTGGTAGGTAGAGATCCAGTTTCAGGTTGTAGTACATAACACAATATATTGATTTTATAGGAAGTGAGTTTCTTGATGATTCGGTTTGGCTTTTGAAGAAGCTTGAATTCTACCATTCTTCTTTTTGTTACTAAATAGGAACAAAAAGAAGAATGGTACATCATGCAACATCTAATAAAAAATACCAAATTTATTTTCTAATGTATATTTAATAATTAATGTTTGCTGTGCTCTTGCAGACCGCATTAAATCATCAAGTAGTCCGCATGCAACCTGCGGGTCGCAGGATGACCAACACGATCTATATTTATTGAAAAAAAAAAACAAAAAACAAAAAAAAATCATGTTCTCAATGTCATTCTTAACGCAATGTCAGACAAATTTCAGAAATGTCTTTTTAAGTGAACTCATTCAATGTATAGAGACCGCATAATAAATAGGTTTTACAGGTATGCCAAAAAATAATGTACTGCGAAGATCGAAATGGAAGATAATCGTGACGAGATTCAGTACAAGCTTCGACGACTCAGTCTACAGAGATTCTAGAGTAGGCGTCTGAAAACCGGGGCGTGCGGGAGGTACTATCTTTTTGCGACCCGCGGGAAACGATTTTCGTGACTCAAAATTCGATAAGCTTAATAAATTTAACCCTCGCCTCTTTTATACTTCTGTGGCAGCTGATTTGAGCTGGAACTACACACCAAGTGTCCACAGACAGTCAATTTTATGGTCAGCGAGGTCTGTTCTAGCTCCTCCCCAGGGAAAGAAAGAAAACTTGATTTTGATGCAGAAGGACGTGTTCTGCATTAACTGATGCACGACACGTTTTTGTTTCATATTCTGACAATCGATGATTCTTTTAATAATTACGCGTTAATTTTGCGTTTTTTTTTTTAAAAAAAAAAAGATAAAAGACACGATATGCTTAATAAAGACGAACGGCAAGAATACGTGAGAAATTTTGCCTGTCTGCCAGAAGATCTTTCTCTGATCTGATGGTTGAGAAGCAATCCTTGGTGCGCTTCCCATTGATAATATAGAAGTGACGAGAGCCTGATTTGGACCATATGCACATTTACTTCAGGTAAAACCCTTTAGTAGGGGGTAAAAGTTAATTATTACGACTGGTATGATCTATCTATATATCTATATCCATATCCATATCTATCTATCTATCTATCTCTCTATGTTCTTATCCATATCTATCTATCTATCTATCTATCTATCTATCTATCTATCTATCTCTGTACATATCCATATCTATCTATGTTCATATCCGTAACTATCTATGTTCATATCCCTATCTATCTATCTATCTATCTATCTATCTATCTATCTATCTATCTATCTATCTATGTTCATATCCATATCTATCTATTTATCTATCTATCTATGTTCATATCCATATCTATTTTCATATCCGTAACTATCTATCTATGTTCATATCCAGATCTATCTATCTATCTATCTATCTATCTATCTATCTATCTATCTATCTATCTATCTATCTATCTATCTCTGATCATATCCCTATCTATCTATCTATCTATCTATCTATCTATCTATCTATCTATCTATCTCTGATCATATCCGTATCTATCTATCTATCTATCTATCTATCTCTGATCATATCCCTATCTATCTATCTATCTATCTATCTATCTATCTATCTATCTATCTATCTATCTATCTATGCACAGTATTCTAAGATTTTCCTCGTGTCTCTATCGTTAAGTCTTACAGCCGGTGTATACCTCGGAAGCTTTCACCGGCCAGATTTCTTACAGACATCTAACTTCTGTTTAATTCTCTTGTTTACGCAAACTAGCGAAGAAAGACGAATAATTTCTCCAAACTAAATGAGCACATGTCAGCTCTTTTGTCATCTTTTTGCATTTTTTTTTCCATGACAATAGTTTGGAAAATGTCATGGGCACCCAGCTGGTGTCAGGATGGGTTTTAGGGAAACAGGGAAGAAGGCGACCAATTCCACAGAATCAGCGAAAAACATGTGGGAAAATGAAAGGAATCGTAATTCCAGACGACAACGCGGTTCTGACAATAAATGGCGTGCGTAGAATCACCCACAAATTCTTGTATGTGTTTCGTTCAAGTGACTGAATATGCGTGAGAAGGCGTGTGCGCTTATAGCCTTGTTTATGTGCGAAAGGATGTCAATGTGTGAAAAGGTGCAGACACATAATAAAAAGGAAAAAAGCCAACTCTTAACAATATTAACTACGAACAAAGCCACAATGTGCTAACCGTACTCGGAAAAAAAAAACATCCCTACCACACACAAAGACATGCACAGAACGCACACACTCAATTAAGCAGAAAAATCGAATCATCCTTGATAATGGCTGAAGGTATAGCCGAAAGCGCTCGGAAATATAAAACATTTGGACTGTTCTTACACATACTTTGTCCAGAAAAGAAAGCTCTTGTTCGGACACAAAAAAAATTAAATAAAAGCTTAACCGTAGTACCTTGTCTGTCGTTTTCAATGAAACATGCATATATATATATATATATATATATATATATATATATATATATATATATATATATAATAACAGTAAGATATATAATCCGGTGTTCTTATTGATATTTTTATTTTTACAAAACAGTGCTCAATGTAAATTTAAAGAGCATAAATATTATAAATTAACTGGTTTAAAATATGTCTTTTTTCGCTACACAGTAATAACCATGTTTCATAAATGGAAGCTAAAAACTTCAAATTTAATTTTGTAATTAAATTAAAAACATTAGTTCCATTTAATCTGCAAGCGAATATTGGAGTAACTTATTTTTTAAATTTACTAAGTTTTAAACGCACGCAAAAATTCATAATTCACTGTTTCCAAGGATACAGAGAAAAACACTCATTCAGACAAGGGGTGGTAGCGTGTTCCTTTATTTTATTAACCTAACATAAGTTTCTCTCTTGTCGTTATATATATATATATATATATGTGTGTGTGTGTGTGTGTGTGTGTGTGTGTGTGTGTGTGTGTTGAACAATTAAAAAATATTAAAAAATTAAAATCTTCAGACACACTGGGTTGTAGATTAATATTCTTTCCTTTTTTTTATTATTATTTTATTTAGATTCCTCGACTAGTTTCGGCCAAAATGGCCATCATCGGGAGAAGAAATATTTCTGCTTGCTGGTAGCAGTAAACTATAGAAATGAATGTCTTGATGGAGAAAATGAACTTTTGTCTGATATATATATATATATATATATATATATATATATATATATATATATATATATATATATATATATATATATATATATATATATCGACAAGAGTGAAACTTATGTTAGGTTAACCATACATTTTTTACAATACCTTTTTAACCACAGAATTTTTACCATACCTTTTAACCATTCATTATTTTACCATTCTTTTTTTACCATACATTTTTACCAAACTTTTTAACAATTTCAATCCACCGCATAGAACATATTTGGGGATAACTGAATGAAAAAATGAAAAAAAACAAAACAAAAAAAAACGTCAGGTGTTACGATCTACGAAAGGACTTCTTCAGACTAATGATGTTTTTATCTATGTAATCATAGATATGTATGCTTTTGGTTCGATTTGTTTAGTTAAATATGCAATAATTCCTTATGGATCATTTAATGCCGAAATTTAATTTTCTTGTGAACTATGTCTTTTTTTTTTTTAAATGTACTGCTGATAATTTCTTTTCCAATGATATATTGCAGGTATTTTTCATAATTTTACTATGAAAATTTATTTCTGGTAAATTTTTCTAATGTATTTTTATATTTTCATCTTGTGACGCCAGTATTGGAGGTTCACCGTTTGCTCATAGCTGGGACCCAATAGGTGTTAATAACCTGGGAACAACAAGTAAGCGGTGGTTCCACGCTCCTCATAACCTCCCGATCAGATGCCTTGCTGTTGGATGCAGTTTATCGTCTTACCCAGGAGGATAGAGAAAGAAAACAAACTACAAAAAAAAAAAAAATAAATAAAAATAAAAATAAAAAAACGCCATTTTGCATCGAGAAATGAAAATACTGGGTCCTTAGCTGTAAATTTAATTTTTAAAAATTTTTGGCTTCTGATGCATCTGCATACATAAACGTAACTTCTATCGCTTTTGTTATTTTGTTACCATTGTTTTAAACAGCCTATATTACAAGAAATGTAGTTTCGTTCAGAAAGAATATCAGTTCTATAACTATTTATCATAATACGATCTCTCCCAGAAACTGTAACTAAAGTCAGCTCGCCATAGATGCAGTTTAACGCTAGGATGGCCAGCTTCTTTGACATCTTTATTTACATTACACCGTGAAGCAGCCATCTTTAATATATTCAATATTCAAGTCAGGAATAACAAGTCTGAAAAGAAATTCACAAACATTACTATACCTCATACTGAAAGAAATTGATTATATATATATATATATATATATATATATATATATATATATATATATATATATATAAAAATTATATGTGTGTGTATAGATAGATAGATAAGTAGATAGATAGGGGACATAAACACAAGTATTATTGCTTGTGAGAAATTTTTCAATGCATTTACCCTATAAATAGCCTAGGTGTCAAAAACGACACCTCGGCCATTCATGGTAAAACCTCAAATATCAGCTATTAAGTCTGTTAAGCATCTTTGCTAAAATTCAATAATTGTCCATAAGCCTCAGCATCGAACCAAAACTTTTTTTTTTAAGCGTTTCACCCCAAGCAAGGCGGGAAGTCACAAGGACGCAAGGGGTTACAGAAAATTTGGAGCAAGATCAGGTAGGAGTGATAGAAGAAAGGATGGGGAGAAGGGTAGTGGATAGATTAAGGCTTCTTATAGCTCTCAGGGAAACTGGAATAGGGAAAGGAGTTCCACAGACAAGAGGTGCGAAACATGAAGCTATTGGAGTAGAAGAGACGGCTACATTTAGGAGTTTCGACAGTGAAGAGGTGAGAGCGTGATGCCAGCCTCGTAGGGCGCTTGAACTCATGAAGTCTGGGAACCAGCGAATGCAGCTCCTCGGAGCAATTGACATGAAAGTATTTGTAAAACAGACAGAGAGAGGCGACGGTGCGTCTGTGAGAAAGTGGCTGTAGACGAGATGCCAGAGCAGGGTCAATTATATTGCATATCCGCCTCTGGAGCCTATCAAGAACCCCGAGGCAAACAGAAGGGGCTCCAGGCCATATATGGCAGCAATACTCCATGCAACTATTTATTCCATAGTAATTTGTTGAAAATTTGAAGGTGTCGAAAACGACACCTCGGCAATCCTAGGGTTAAACCACAATCGGGCACTGAGTATTGAACAAACACAAATATGCCTGAGTGGGCTGTCCTCCCTTGTAGATGGATATCTTCGGATACGAGTGGCCATCCATTATATAGAAACATTCGTACGTCACTATATGTGTACATATATATGTGGTTATATAAACGCTTGTTTATGTTTACTTTGACGTGTATATGTGTATGCAAAACACTTGGAAATGATTGTGGATGGCATTGTGCTAGAATTGAAAGGTGGGGTCTGCTGAAACAAAGTTTTGGTTGCAATTAAATTGTTGCATATGTTTAAAATTTTCGTTCCTAAGAATAAGGGAAAGCAAAGAAATGGCTGTCATTTCCGTTTCTCTATTATAAACACATAGACACAAAAATTGCATAAAAACGTTACACTAACGATTTTTTCGGCGCTCCATAGGAAGTACCTATATTTGCCTCCCTTTTCTACGTGTTCGACAACTCGAGGTCTGATTTTTTCATTGTACTAATTAGTGAATGTCACTACGGACAGGCAGCTGTGTAATTGGTTGATCACATACCGTAGCAGATTTTCTTTTCGCCTATAAATATGTAGAAAAAATAAAACACAGACAGAAGAGATTTATATGACAAAAAGAAAACAAACAGTTCACATTTTAAAATTTGCTATTATTTAAAATATTTCTTTTATTCTTCTTGGCGTTTGATTCCATCATTTTTTTTAGTTCTTTCGAATTTTTCACGAGATACTTTTACTTATTTAATTTCTTCCATCTTTTTTTTGTTTCTGTTCGTTTTTTTCTCTTGTTTTAATTTTTCTGGATTTTACTTTCTTTTGTTTTTGTTCTTTTCTTTCTTTCTTTCTTTCTTTCTTTTTTTCTTTGTTTTACTTGATTTTGTATTTGTTTTTGGTCATTACTTGTATATTTCTCTGCTTTATTTTTCTGATCTTATTTTTCTCCTGTTCTTTCTTTCTTTCTTTCTTTCTTTCTTTCTTTCTTTCTTTCTTGTCTTTCTTTCCTTCCTGTATTTCTTTCTTTTTGATTTCCTCTTGTTTCTTTCATTTTGTCTTCTTTCTTTCTTCCCTTATCTCCGTTTCCATTCTTTCTTTCTCCTCTTCTTCCTTCGTCTCTGCTTTCATTCTCCTCTCGTCTCTTTTGCTGTTTCTTTCTTTCTTTCTTTCTTTCTTTCTTTCTTTCTTTCTTTCTTTCTTTCTTTCTTTTGCTGTCTTTCGTGCTTTCTTTCTTTCTTTCTTTCTTTCTTTCTTTCTTTTGCTGTCTTTCGTGCATTCTTTCTTTCTTTTACTTGATTTTGTTTTTGGTCATTACTTGTATATTTCTCTTTGCTTTATTTTCCGATCTTATTTTTCTCCTGTTCTTTCTTTCTTTCTTTCTTTCTTTCTTTCTTTCTTTCTTTCTTTTCTTTCTTGATTTCTTTCTTTATTTTGATTTCCTCTTGTTTCTTTCATTTTGTCCTCTTTTTTCTTCCCTTATCTCCGTTTCCATTCTTTCTTTCTCCTCTCCTTCTTTCGTCTCTTCTCTCATTCTCCTCTAGTCTTCTTTTCTGTTCTTCTTTTCTGTTCTTTCTTTCTTTTGTTGTCTTCGTGCTTTCTTTCTTTCTTTTACTTGATTTTGTTTTTGGTCATTACTTGTATATTTCTCTTCTTTGCTTTATTTTTCTGATCTTATTTTTTTCCTGTTCTTTCTTTCTTTCTTTCTTTCTTTCTTTCTTTCTTTCTTTCTTAAGTTTGCTTTTTTCTCTCTTCCTTTATTTCCTTCTACTTCCATCACTAATCTTTATTTATTTATTTATTTATTCCCTTCCCTTCATCCCCAATGTGCTTTCTGATTTTAACAAAGCTTAACTTAATACGACACAAGGTGTCAAAACAAAACTAAACTTCTCAATGAGAAAATGAACACATTACATGTGGAACATCAGTAATGGTCCGACAGATTATTCCCTAGTGAATTACCCAGTGTGCAATTATTACTTTTTTTTACCAACATACACATCTTCATCCTTTCTCCGAAAAAAAGTTTCTAATTTACTGATTTGTTATCGATTTTCATTCACATATCAGTCTGTTTCCAAACTTGTTTTGCCGCCAACATCCATATGTTTTATTATCTTCGTTTTCCGTTGGGTGATGCAAAAGTTTGTCGTGAACTTTGAGTGAACTGACAAAGACAATACATATATATTTATACATAGATGTATTCAACCACATATGCATCATTTTCTTCCACTGTCTTTTGCAATCATTGAGGTATCTTCATGATACCATCCTTCCAGAACTCGGCATTTTCTTGATCAAAGTTTGTTTTTTTAAAGGCTTTTCTTGTTTTTTTCTTCACTTATCAAATTTGTTTTAAAGTCTTTTCTTTCTTTATTTTTTGTAATCATTTCACGCCAAATAAGGCAATAAAGCCACTAAGACGCAAGCAATGGAGACTGGGTGTTAGATAACATGATAAAAAGAATATGAGGAGTGACAACAATCAAAGAACGAGAATTAAGAAGGAAGAAAATAACGATTGACATTCCATTTAATTTTTCAAGATCAAAATTAACTGGAAAGCTAGAAGTTGGAAGAGAGTTCCACAAGTGAGAGGTGCGATAGAAGAAACTGTTAGCATAGAACTTACGGTTAAATCTAGCCTATTCAACTGTAACATGATGGGATCTTATTGCCAATCTACAGGGTGCCCAACAAAAAACTATGAAATTTGGTATAGTTTATTAAATTGCTAGAATTTTTGTTACAGTTATTTGAAACAAAAGCAACGGACAGAAATTTCTTAGCTTAAAACGGAACAAAACATAAATGTTAGATGTGGTGTTCAAACTATACAACTCTGGCAAAATTTCTTAGCATTTTTCCAGTCCCCAAGTTGGATGTTCTTTTTTAAAGAGAACAATCACCTCGAGTTGAAAATTTGATATCTGCAGCATTCTGGAACAACAAATGTTTTTTTAAAAATTATACTTTAGTTATTTTATTTCATTCATATAGTAAAATATAAACTTATTTTTTTATATGTTAGTTAATTTTTTTTTATGTAGTAAATCCGTCTTTTTTTTGTGGGGGACCTTGTAGTATTGCGTTTAAATTGATAACGTCTATGTATCAGAGAGGAAATTTCATCAGAACAATAACCATGAAAGTATTTATGGAAAAGACACAGGACAGTTACCTTACGGCGGTGAAAAAATGACAGAAATCGAGATGCCAGACCAGGACCGATGACATTACAGATTTTTCTTGAATTCTGTCAAGAATTTCTTAATATATAGCGATATTTATTCTGTAAAATATACAGAAATGTGGCACATGGCCAAAGGGGGGATTGGGGAAAGGACGGTCTTGTTCTGTCTTAACTATAACTTAGCTAGTCGCAAACACTGACCCAATCGTACGAACAATATTCCTTATACCAAAACAATACATTCATATGTACCTTTCTTACTACAACCACCAGAATACCTCATTGTCTCTATGAAAATATTAACTAGTCCCCATATTTACAATTCATTCTCTGTGGGGGGAGGGGAATAAAACAACAATTCTAAAAACTAGCCACAATGAGCATTTACAATATGAATACAAAACTATTTACAAGAAACTGAAGAAAATCAGATTAGTAATAAAAAAAAACCCGCAATCACTAAATGTGGCAGAGACATCAGTTCACTGGCCGAAATCAATGCGTGACTATAATAGTATAAAACATTCATTCATCCCAAGCACACACACTGACATGCACTCATTCAGACACAACAACAAATACGAAAAAACACTCACGCGAAACGAAAGGCGCCTCGCATCTACCAGCGAACTGACATCACTGACCACCTAACAAGGGAGGGGATGGGGAATTAAACTTAAAGAAAAATAGGGACAGAAATAAAAGGGTCCAATGAGTATACATACTCTAGCTAAGTTAACTCGAAAGAAAAAAGAAAAAGAAACTAAAACATCAAAAACTGAACCTAACCTAGCCTAGTTTCTTAATATATAGCAGGAACACCAGACCAGACACGGCAGCAATATTCAAAGCAAGGACGAATGGTAGACTTATAAATATGTAAGATAGATTCTGACGAGAAATATTATCTTGCTCGTCATAGTGAATCAACTTTCCTAGATGTAAACTTAGCAATTGATTCATTATACTCTTTCCACTTCATGTCAGCGGAAAACGTTAGGCGCAATGGGTCACTCATCTTGAGGTTAGCATCAGCCAGGCTGATGGACGGCAAAAAAGTGGTCCCTCAGAAAAATAAAACAGCGTTTTTGAATAATGGAATTTTTTTTTACTATTAACAGAATTTGGCAGAGATTGAAAAATGGCAAGCCGAGGGTGTAAGGTCAGTTGAGTATTAAAATATCTCAGATAGGTTGTACTAATCTCTGTCGCGTCTGCAAAGAGTCCTGATGTCAGACGTTGTTCTCATGGAATACGACACATTTGCGATTGGCCAATTCCGGACTCTTTTCATTGATTGCTGGATTAACTCACTCTAACTGGTAATTATATTTGTCTGAATTCAACGCCTGCTTTTGCTAAAAGAGCTGGAAATACATAATACCTTTTAAATCCTACCAAATAGCAGAGCATCAGAGGCCGGTTTTTCGATTCATTAGCATTGCTTGATTTCTTTTTGACCAGGACTTCTTCGCCGCTCTTTATTGTAGTCAACAACCCTTTTTCATTTCTCGTGATCGTTTTTTTTTAATGGATAGTTTTTGTTACAAAGCAAGGAATCACAAATGGAAATGCAACCCATTAAATTTGTATTCGAAAAATCGTGAAGAATATAATTGTTTTTTTAATGCTTCACAACACTCATATGTATTATATAGAGTATGTCTGCGATGGCTCGTGTTATGTCAACTGGAATTATATACTCTGCATCAGATCAGCTGGATTTATATTTAGTGAGCTTATAGATATGGTCATTATCATCGATTGCTGGTCCACCGGAGCCTTCTCCGTCTTTCAAACCCAAACTTTCGATTTTTACCCTAGGAAGCCATTACAAAGAGAACACTCAGTTATGGCACCGTCTCCATAAACGGTACATAAATGCTTTGCTTTTTTTACGATGTCTTTTTCTCATTTCCGGAAATGGGAGTGCATCTAATGATGAAAATACATTTCGCTTCCTCTATTTTCACTTTCAACGTAAATAGGAACATTTCAAATTTACATTTCAAGCACGAATCGTTTAGAGAGATGCGTTGAAATGTCACCTTTCAAAATACCGTATATGCTCGTATACAACGCAACTGGGTATATAAGACAACCCTCAAGTTTTCAAGTTAAAATGTAGGTTTCGGGCTATTTTCGCCGTACAAGACAGCACCCCGCTCCAAGTTATATTTTAAAATGTATTGTTTTGAATTCATTAAACAAATGCAGGAAGCATCTACTTTCTTTCCACTCAAATTTTAATGAAAAATCTGTTGAGAGATATTGTCATTGAATTACCAAAATCTACGATACTTCATCAGTGGGTGATGTGGTTTTGGTAGGCTATTACGGTAGCATGAATCACTTTTCCCCGCTAACCATCCACTCGTTCCATTATTCTCGAATGCGATCTTTAAACGGCTTGTTGAGACACACACCCAGTGGTGTTTTGGTTCAACATTATCGAAAAAAAGGGGCAAGATATTATCCCTTAACTTCCACAGGATTTAAGGTTCATATTATACCTGGAATATAAGACAGCCCCGTTTTGATGGGGGATTTTTAAGGCTAAAAGATCGCCTTGCACTCCGACATACACCGTATATATTTTTCGCTCTTCAAGAGTTGAATTAGAATATATATATATATATATATATATATATATATATATATATATATATATATATATATATATATATATATATAATCTGTTTATAAGTTATATTTTATTTTTAAATTTATTGTATTGAAAGTCTAATGAAAAACCGATGGGTAGATATTGTCAATTAACTAGCACAATCTACAATACCTCATTAGTGGGTACTAGAGTTTTCGTTAGTCTATTACGGTAGCCTGAATGACTTTTTACCGCTAACCATTCACTATTCTCGAATGTGATCTTTAAACGACTTGTTGAGAAACATCTCATGCTAACAACAAGATCTCAGACAGGTTATACTAATCTCTGTCGCGTCTGCAAAGAGTCCTGATGTCAGACGTTGTTCTCATGGAATACAACACATTTGCGATTGGCCAATTCCGGACTCTTTTCATTGATTGCTGGATTAACTCACTCTAACTGGATTTAAGGTTCATATTTCATATCTGGAGT